GTAGCATAGTGTAATAGAACGTCGGATGATCTCAATGAGTATTCATTATTAATAAGTGATAAAAAATCTGAAACGTCTATTACGTTTAGGTGCCAACAAAATGTTGTTAACAACAATATGATTTTGTAGGGTGGATGTAATATATTATTTAATGTATTGATAAAACGCCATTTAATTTATCAGAGTTATAGTTGTTGTCGTCAAGACGTTTTTTTTTTTTTTAGAGGTGAACAATTGTTGTATGTCATTAAATCTGTGCAAATTAATTATGCTTTAAAATTTATTTTACTTTTTTAATTTATTACAAATCTAATTTCGAAATAATGGCTAATTAAATACTTCCATTACTTTTGTTTTCTCTGGAATATAGAAGCAAAAAGTATATGCTGTCATTCAAACGATAAAAAGTTTAGAATATTGTATAAAAAAAAAATGTTCTATAGTGACAATAAACGGTGATATTGTTGTTTTATATAAAATATAACTATAGTGTTTTGTAAATATCCAAATACTCATTTTTTCACAGAATTCTAATTTTAAATTAATGAGAATTGTAATACATTTTCATTTTTGCCTTTTAAATTATAATAATAAAAAAAAAAAAATGTAAGACATACCATTTTGGTTGGTAAGTATATTTTATATACATTTATAATTTGTCTAACATCACAAATACTTTGTTATTATTGTTTTTTTTTTCATAAATTCTTCAAATAATATAACGTATAATATGTATTTTTTTTGTTTTTTTTTTTTATAGCAATTTTAGTTTTTAATATTTTTTTTCGATTTTTTTTTTCATCTACTACAAACTATACAGTCATATAGATAATAACACTGTTGGGATAAATGTTTAAATTTTTGTTTACTTTTACTATTTTTAATTCTTTTAGTATATTCCAATAATGTCTATATAGCGGTGATTGGTAATTATTTATTATAAACCCGGAGCATTTTGCTTTACCATTCTGTTTTTTTAATTTTTTTTTACAATAAAATTGCTTATGAAACATTTATTTTAAAAATATTAGGTATACAATTTTTAGTCTAAGTATTAAAATGTATTATACCTTTTGTCAAATTTCAGTTTGAAAAATATTTTTAACGAAGCAAAAGTTTGATAATTTATTATGATTGTCATCATTATTACATTATTATTGAAATAAATTCAACAAGATTTTGAAACATTAAATTTTTGTCTCATTCTAAACGTAAAGCGAGCAAAAATGTATAATAAAAGAAATAAAATACATTTTAATATTATACGAAAGTTTTAATGACAATAGAGTAATTTGACATAAAATATTTATCCTGCACCTATCACAACGGTTTTAAATTCGTATTTTCACTTTTCCGCGAACAAATTAAACGAAAAGACTGAAGATTGACGGAATCATCGCCGTCATGTTAAATTGTTTCACTGTAGACAGATCAACAGTGGAGTGATGTGTGACGTGCGGTCGTGTACTACGCTGAGAAAATATTTTGAAATAAAAATCCTCAATTACACTTAAATGGTGTGGTAATGATATCGGAATAGGGTGAAAAAGTTAATATGACTGTGCAGATAAATACAACCAAAAATTCAGATCTAACGACAAAATGACTGACAAGTCGAACTATACAAAAATCGACGAACTTTAACGGTGTTAAATTTTTAGTCGCAACAGTGACGCTTACTATAAGATAATACGTTTTATTATGGTATACCATACGTCAGAACCTATGACAAAATATACACAACAGTTTTTAAATATTAAAAAGCGACATGGAACCATTGAGAACCTCACTTAACCAGGTTTGGTACTTAATGAACATGATTAAAAATAAGAATAAACCAAACATATATTTTATTTATATTTTACTTTTGATAATTTTTGTCAAAATAAAATTTAAAATAACTTGAAAGATTTTGATAATTAGTACCATCTTTGTATAATAATTAATATATTAATTTTACAACGATGTGTATTTTTAATTATAATTGTATAATGTATATACATAAATATATTTAGTGTGTGTATGTGTGTTTCTAGAAGCATATTATTCAAAATTGCTCTTTTTTTTACATTGTAAAAGGTTTTAGGTAGCAAATTAGATCTAGTTTCTACATTGGGTGTCAAAAAAAGAAATGTCAAAGAACTGTTCAGAGTAATGGGAACAAATAAAAAAAAAAAAAAATGTTTCTGGAAATATTTACACAGACAAAATACCTTGTACTATTTTAAATGATCAGCAAAAATAAATAAGAAAGTATGTAAAGAATTATGCAACATTATCTTTTGTATTATTGTAGTACTTTAAAAACGAGTAACTATAGATTTTAAATTTTCAAAAAATATTTAAAATGATATTTTTAAAGATAAGGTTAAAATCAAAAAAAAAAAAATATTTCAGCATTTCTATTTATTATAATTTTTAAATGTTTGATCTTTTTAGTTTTATTGGACTTAATGTATGTATAATACAGTTTTTGCTTGTGTATATAATAGCTTGACAATTTAATTCAAGGTTCCTCGTAGTTTTTTTCATAGAAATTAAGAATATTTAAGACAATAATAATATTTTGTTATAAAAGCTTTTAAATTTATATTATGAGAAAAATCACGATATATTTAATATGCATAGTGTATAATTTCACAGACCTTCCCTGAAAAGAATAGTTTTGTATTCTATATTATATTATACTAATTCATTATTGAATTCAAACTTCAGATATGCGTTACTTGGAAAACTCGATGATGATGTAGGTATACTCCGATAATCGACACCTATAGTTACTTATGTTCTATACAACAGAGTGAATTTTAGGGTTTTTTTTTTTTTATTTTAACAAAATTTAAAAAATAGTAACACAATATTATTTAGTATTAAAATGAGTAAACTGTTTACTTTTGATTATCGGTGGAATAGGGTCTCGTGGTATCCACAGATAAGCGAATCCCGCGGTCAATACACTAAATTCAATTAAAAATTTCAACAACTATATTATTGAAAAAAAAAAAAATAAACCTTGTACCGTTATAAAGCACTTAGAGGAAATGCATGTTAATGTATGGCGAAGGAGACGTGTGTGTAATGGTCGATCTTATTCAAATAGAAATTACAATAACGCAGCGGTACCGCACGTGTGCTAGGCATGAATAATGATCGAATGCGATTATCGTACAACCCGCATCATAGAAGTTATCGGTTATTGCTACCCAATTAGACCGATTTGTGGAACCGTAATGATAGATGTATTATGCAAAGAAATATTATAATTTTTTTGTATGGACATATTAACATATTATTATGTACACGGTTCCTCAGGAGATCACGAATAATCGAGAGTACACTGCATATTAGATAATACAGTTGATTCACAAATTTATAATATGTCATAAATATTTTCATTTTATTTATATTTTATACATGTAGACATATAATATTTCACATTATATTTTATGAAATTAATTGATAAGTGGTTTTTTTATTATTTTTATACTTGAGTGTCACGATCGTTCATTTGTAAACAAAGCTTGGCAAACTTTTTTGAATGGGATATCCTCAGTTCTATTTTTTCATTATATTTATAATTCACAAAAATAAAATGTACCTTCGGGACATTTAAATATACATAGTATAATATATAATAAACTGTTGAGAGGTGATTTATTCTATAGTTTGGATGACTTAGCCCCCTTCAAGCTTTCTCCTTCAGCTAAACCAATTATCTCGTTCTTCATTTGAAAATTAATTAGAAATGTAAAAAAAAAATATATCTTAAAAAATAAAAATCTATTGATTCAACTTGTAATATAATTTAATCCTGATAAAATAATAAGCCAACTGCAAAACAGGGAGTAATTATTTCTACCTATTTATTTTTTGATTATCTCTTAAGTATTGGGAAATTTTAATATAACTGTTATGCTCAACTACCACTTATGTTTTTGAAGCGTATACAAATTGAAAAAGCGATTTTATGGATACCGAATATAATATTAGTATTTCTATTATTATTTAGTACAATATAAACCATTATTATGGAAATCGGTAGTGTAGCTGAACAAGAATTTTATTCTCCGGCGACACCAAATAAATGAATAAAGTCGTTTGTATGATGCTGTCGTCTTAGACGTCATACATACTCGTTTTCTCCCCTTTTTATATTAGAAAAATAAATAAATAAAAATTAGTTTACGGAAATTACCATTTAAAAATTGAAACGATAAACGATAACCTTCTACTTCTTGTAAATATGCAATGATTGGGATATATTATTTTACAGGCGAAATACATAGGTGTATTTGGTAGTTAAAACCCTAACATTTAACTTCTAAAATTATTAGAGGTAATTTAACCAAGCGCAACGGTAGCGTATTGTTTATTTTTTTTCTGGTTCGTGTGTAACATAGATAAAACGCATTCATCCTAAATCATTTTTTTTCTACGTTAGAGTAATTAACTTAATATAAAAATATTCAAAGTTAATATTTATGAGTGTATGACATCGATTTATAAATATCATAAATTATCTATAATTTTTGTAATGAGTGATTTTATTCGAAGATTACTCAAAAATCATAAATTACAATGTTATATGAATGCATTTTATCTATGCTGCAAATGGGTTTGAGAAAGAAAACATTTATTATGCTACATCATATTATTATCAATAAGTTAGTATTACAATGATTTTTAAAATGTCCAATATTTTTAGCAAAGGATGTATTTATAAAAATTAATACTTTTATGTATATTTTATCTGTGTAATTCAGTAGAATAAAATTATTTTATGATAAAACAAACAAAGTAACAATTATTATTTTAAATAGATCGTTTCAACATGTTTATTGTTCATTTGTATAATTAATTTAAACATTAGAAGAAAAATTTAATATGCCACCAATGTACCTATACGATTTCACAAAACTATTAAACAAAAATATCTAATGGGAACTGTACTTGAATATCACCTACTCTTACAATAATATAATTACAATAACGTTACTCACGTATAACAGTCAAATTGACATTGGAGTTTCGGGTGGGTGACTTTTTGAAATCGACCCGACACTTGTATATGGCTGCGTCCTTGTCGCCAATGTCCTGCACGATTAGCGCGGCCGGTTGCGAAGTGACGCGAAAGTAAGCCCGGTCGTTCAACGTCTTGTCATCATGCCGATGGGGGCTCACGGCTGCGGCTGACTTTTGCTGTGGACCGTTCGGTGTCTTGGGGTTGGGTGCTACTGATTTCACAGGATCCGTCCTCACGTCATAGCTGAAACATGAAAACAAAAATTAGTTTTGGAACATAGATTTTTTTTATTAAACCGATAAATAAACACAATATTTAAGAATATTAAACACGTAGACAACACATCGTTTTGGTATACCTACTAAAGGTAATTATTAGCCTTTTTTTAAAATAAATACTTCGGTTTATCTAAGATATGCCAGATGTATAACAACTGAATGAAATTCAATCATTAATGCTATGATTCTTTTCATACTTTCTTGTATTTTTTTTTTGGGGGGATTACTTAGTAAGACGTCTCACCACCTAAGTATTTTATTGCATTATAGGACCACATCCTGTATTATTGCTATTTTTGGGTTGTTACGTGATAACTGAATAGTACAGAAAACATATAAATAAAAAAAAAAAATGATAAAAGCATCCCAAAATGTATTTTTTTTTTTGTGTTTTTTGAACGAAAACGTATTACATAAACTTTTGAGTATATTATTTTTTATTCAGTAATTAAAAAAACAAACAAAATATATATATATAAATATATAAATATATATATATTTTTTTTACAATTGTACCTAACACTCAAAAAAAAAAAAAAATTATACCCATTATAATCTAAAAATTCTTTTATACTTTAAACTATATCACATTTAAGTTATAAAATCGATGTAATTAATTTATTCTGTACTCTGTAGATGTGTTTTTAAATTTTAAATGCCAGGAAATAATGCTCTTTTAACTACCTAACGATTATACATTTTTTTCAAATTTTAATTTAATAATCTAATACGAGTACTGAATACTGATAGATATAATTGTATTTTATTCGTAAGTTCTCAAAGTTTAAGTAAAAAGGAACCACAACGAGTTTTATAGCTCTCAATAATCCACCATAAATTTTGTCTAAGATAAACAAAGATTTATATCACTAGATATAGAGCATTATACATTATGCATAACAATTTAGTGCTTAAGATCTTAAATATATAAGGTGTTCCTCAGATTATTATTATTGTTTTCGGAGATGTGCAATAAAATAAGACGTCTGGAAATGAATCAGAGTCTTTATTTTAATAATGGATGTTTGATAAAAATGTTATAGTTTATGAGGTAAAAGGGTTTTTACTGATTATTGTGTATTGAATATAATTATAATAATCATTCAATGTTTTATGACTGCAGACGCATAAAATAAATGTAAGATCGGAACGAGAACTTGTGAAATAAGATTAAGTTTAAAGTTATCGTTGAAGTATGAAAATGTATTGTTAATTCACTTTTGTATAATACAGTGAATAATATGTGAAGCTATCCCGATTACCTCGGCTATAGACGCCAAAGAATACTTTCTCAACAGAAAACTCTAAATCACGTATTCAATCCTTAGGTGTTAATATCACTGCAACTTTTATTACTAAAATAACATATTTTATAGAAAACTAATATTATATCCGTTGCTGATATTTATAATTGACCTAATATTGGTCTGGAAAAGGTTCCAACAATGTTTTTCATAATTTACCATAAACATTTTAATAGTTAGAATTTTGGATAACAGAGCATAGGCCATGTGTATTAGTTGAATTATATTTATTTTTATCGGTCAATCTTGTAGGTACTATACAGAAGTACAAAATATGTTTATAACACATTCAATATAAATTTTCATTTCACTTAAATTAATTTGTGAAAAATGTTTAAAACAAATTTCACATGGACATAAATTGCATGCACTGTCTTGTTTAATTTTTTGTTGAGATTTTAGTAACAATATTATATATTTATTTGTATGTAAACTATTTTTATTATAACACTATAGTACGTATTATCATTGTGTGCTCTCCATTGTTATCGCATATAACAATCGACCCGTTCGGAGAGTTAAATTCCATTTGTATGTGCAACGGTAATTGATTTCTACAGTAAAACGATGACAATCTCTCACGATCTAGTCCATATAAATATTTTACTAAAAATAATAATAATAATAATAATAATGTCTCTCGTACAGAACAAAACACCACATTTTATGCGACGAGCAATGTTTATGCTATTTACGAAGTATAAATAAACATATTTTAATGATTTATATTTTTTTATTAATATTTTTACGGCACAAATATAATATATCGTTTGTTTCACTCATTTTGTGACGTATATTTCATATTACTACCTGCGAACAAATTCCGAGCACGGCCCTGTTTAGCGAATAAATCCGACGGTTAACGTTTAAGGTTAGGTAAGATTAGGTATATAATATGTATATGTATATACAAATAAATCGTTTCGTTGGGTATACGTTTTATTCTTTAAATTTAATGTGTACACAATTTATATACAAAGTATATATAAATAAATTTATTATGCAATATATTAAACGCTATTTGGGAACATTTACTATACAAAATATTATAACGCGTTACGTATTGTTCAGCTTCCGGCCTAACCGAGACAGGGCCAAAGGGTTGCCTATGCGACGTGAGTAGAAAGGACACTATTTTCATTATTATTTTGCCTCCCCATCAAAACTTCGACCTTAAGCCAGCACCATACGTGGACGACTATTGGTGATAACCGACGGTACGTATATTATATGGAATGGGGGATAATAATGCATTCAGTGAATCGTATTATTAGCACAACTACTATCACTTGACATACAAATATACTTTCTACAACTCCAATAACATACACTACTGTTAGTGGTGCTACATATATATATATACGACGGCATACACCGCGTGTCATTAATACGTTTACATTATAAATCGGCAACGGATAGCGTTTATAGTGCACACGAATAATAATAATAATTATTATTATTATTATTATGATTATTATGATAGTTTATAATATACGACAATAATTCGGTTTCTGGTTTGCAAATTTCCGACTACTGCGGCGCTGTGACGTGCGGTTCCGGCCGGCAAGAACGGCATTTGTAATAATATTGTATCATATATACTACCAAATGTATAGTTGTGTCCTTAACAAACTCCACACACAGAGTCGTCTAAAAATACGACTTATAAGATCGCTCGATATAATATTATTATCATTATTATCCAGAAGTGGTTCGTGAACCAGCAATTATAGTTTTTATATAGTTAACCTACGCAACGTCTTTTCACTGTGTAGAAACATAAATCTTAAAATAATAATGAGTAATATTTTTTAAACCAACCTTCGTTGTTCTTGAAAACTGTAAATAAAACACAGTTCATACGAGTTAATCGAAGATTAGCTATAACTAATTAAAATCGGATATCGAATTACATGGTCACATGACTGTTATAATATTATTACTACTCGTATATAGTGTCCTAAACTTAATAATAATTTTCAAAAAAAGAAAATTTCCTTTTAACACTCCATGTATCTAATCATTCTAATCTAACGCCCACATAATATTATACACACCATATTATGATACAGTGATATAATATAATATTATGTTATGGTAATTGATGATATACGCGTTCGGACCACTTTGCAGTAAATACGTATTTCAGATACGTGGACATATTTTATAGTGCCAACGGTATGACAAAAACACATATTTACGACTCAATTCACTAAGTTGACAGGTCAGCCGCCACAGCTGCGAAACCAAGAAAGAACGCAGACGACAGTTCACGCAGTCGGTCAAATAAACAACGTCGTTTGGCTATTATACAATAAACACACACACACGCGTGCAGAAAGTATATATTTTTATGCTTTCAAAAGAAAACGAATGTTTTTTGTCAAACGAATGCGCCATGTCATAAAAAGTTAAAAACATACGAGCAATAAATTTAGCGACAAAATGGTCAGTTTGAAGATGCTTACTGCTGTTTAAAAAATAAAACACAAAGCATATAATATACATATAAATACCAAAACTGGCATAGTCTACTCCACCGAATTTACAAGACTGAAACTTGTATTGTGTATACAGTGTACAAATAGAGTAAGTTTATATATAAAGCGGAAATTTATTTTATGTATAATATACATGGTAATATATTTATTCACCGAGATCGGACTCAGTCAAAGTTGAAAGATTCAATTTTATTTCGAGTTGGATAAAACTGTTTATTTCCTGAGAACAAACTTGTATTTAAGACGTATGCGTATATGAATAATAATATTATGTCAGTATTGTAAGATTACGCATGTATATAAAACCAAAAGTTATAACTACTCGTAAAATTTTTCTTTTTATTTATTACATAATATGTTTATGTTATGTATAGAGATGAAATTTTTTCGTTACACATAATCACCCAGTTTAAGACATTTAAATTCTATGATTTTATTATTTTTTATTTTTGTGATTATAGGATTAATTGTTCAGAGACAATTGTTCTAACAAAAGTTCTGTAAAATAAACTGATCATAAAATAAATGTACTGTGTCATAAATTTATTAATAAAACTATTTTAATAAATTATTTTACCGTTTTAAATTTAATCTTATGGTTTCTAGTCACAGAAAAGTTAATCCAGTTAATATTATCATTTTATACTTTAAAGTACGATTGTGCTTTGACATAGCCAACGTGTTAGATTAGATCCATATTTCTATACAATTTTCAATTTATTGTTATTTTAATTTTTAATTGAATGAAACTATGCGGCACTATCAGTAAAATTGTACGCATGTATTAATAAATTGTAATTAATCCACTGAGAATAACTGTCTTCATAAAAGTAATATTACTAAATTCTTAATTAATACTTTGATTGGATAACAATATTGC